AAAAAAAGAATAAATGTAATAATAAATATAGCTGCAAGAAAAAGAAAAAAAAATTTACACTTCTCTACACTGGAGAAAAACATAAGGATTTGCAAATGTTTACATCAAAGTAATTAGGGTTTTGTGATCAATAATGAGTACTCAATTAATGTAATTACTTTTTCATTCATACTCGTCGCCGGAAGGCGCCCTCGCACAGAAACTCCACAAGTGAGACACACTGATGACATTCCAGGAAATCCCTTATATGGACAAAGACATTCAGCTTTTGCTGTAGATGTAGCCTAGTAGTTGAATAACATGCATATAGATGTTTTACTGATGAAACATGAAGACAATAAACAGTGATTGCTTCAAGAACACACAATCATATATTGTTGCAATCAATAAAAATAAAGTATATTTAAAATACTATGCTAATTGACATAGCCTTTATCACTGTATAGAATAATTGATTTGCGAATGATTTCGGCCTCATTCTGTTTAATGAAGCCATGTCAGATTACAAAAATAAGTTATTTCAAAGACTCTACTGATGTTATGAAGTGAATTTGGAGTAAAAAAAATCATTATACTTTTGTTGGACAACATGTTTGTAATCATGGTAACCAATTAGCAAGATAGGCTAACATACAAAGCCAGTTAGCCCTATTTAACAATCAAATTAATTAAGCATATTAATGTATTGTATTACCATGTGAACTCTGATTGGACGGTTGAGAGGTACTCGTGTTTATGTAATGATCTGTTTGAATTAAGTTCTTTATGAGGTTGAAGATATCTGCAAATGAACCGGTAGTGGTAGTTATTCTGTTTTTGATGTCATCTTTTAATTTCTAACTAGTAATTATTGCAATAATGACGAGTATCTATTTAAATATTTTACTAGTAAGCATTCATTAGATACTAGTACTTATTTATTAGACACTGGTATCTTTTGTAATTATTACTAGTAACAATTCTTATCTTACTAGTCAGATCTGCTTTTTTACTTGTCTTATGTTATGACTAGTCCAAATGGCTACAGTAGAGTTCAATTAAGAAATTACTAGTAAAATAAAAAAATCTTACTAGTAACATTTCAAATAAGTACTAGTATCTAATAAATGTGTACAAGTGTCTAATGAATAGGTACTAGTGTCTATTTAATGGGTACTAGTATCTAATGAATGAGTACTAGTACCTAATGAATAACTACCAGTACATAAAAATTAAGTACTAGTCACTAGTGGAATACATACTAGTCAAAACTGAATAGTTGATATCTCAATGACAGATCCCCATAGAAGTCAATGGCAAAAATTTTTAATTTGTTACTAGTAACAATATAATAGTTACTAGTCAGTACTGAAATAAGAACTAGTATCTAATGAGTAAGTACTAGTATCTAACCAATAAGTACTAGTACCTAATCAATAAGTACTAGTACCTAATCAATAAGTACTAGTACCTAATCAATAAGTACTAGTATCTAATCAATAAGTACTAGTACCTAATGAAATAAAAATAATAACACGCTTAAAAATAAAGTTGCTTCAAAAGGTTCTTCAAGCATATCTAATCAAATAAACAAAATATTGCACTAAATTAAAAGTTCAAATGTTACAAATAAGTTACAATATAACAATTTTTATGACTGCAGAAATATGTTAATTCAGTATACACATTATCCCACCGGTCACAATTGTGACAGACTATAAAACACAATTTTTCACACACTTTTCCAAAAAACTTGCATTAAAAAAAAAAAAAAAAAAAAATAATGATTATTTCAAAGGGCCACTAATGACACACTATCTAGATATTTTCATGTCTGGAAAAAATTTGGGATTAAACAGTTAACAGCTCCCACTAGCTGTGGTGGAGCAGTTATGAAATATTGATCTTGTAAATACAGTATTTTTTTCCAGTAATATGCATTCTATGTACGTGTCCACATGAGAAACAACTTCCCTCTGAATCGGGCTTATGAGTAATTTTTATTTTGTCTAAATAAATCTTGTGCAAAATTAGGAGAACAGCCCATCAGTTCTGTGAAATTACAGTTTTTAATGATTCGTATATAGGCCTAACGTTTAAGAAAAGGGAAATACACAACACTGTACAGGTTATAAGAAAAAAATATAAAATATTTTTGACAATGTCTTAAGAAAAATGTGCTGACTATTTATAAGGTAGATAGTGTTTGTTATACAAAGAGTACATACACATCATTTTTGGATATTTGAATTCGATTATTTTATAAATGTCAAGTACTGAAATTGACTAATTAAAACTGATTGTGCTATAATAGTTGCATTAAATATCTAGGCATCAGAAATGGACAAACATGGTGTATTTGGCTATAAAAAAAATGTATAAGGAAGACAACACATATCTGTCATATAGATTGAAATATTTAGTGAGGGGATTTTTTGGTCTATAATGTGTACTGTGTTCTTTCACAACGTTCCATATCTCCAGTACAACAGAAGTGTAGTCCTTTTCCTTTACACCCACACCTTCCCCTTCCCTTCTCCTTTCCCAGATCGCTGTCCACAGCAGCCCCCTGTCAAGCCACGGTACTGGGTAGCTGGAAGGTTCTTGTAGACAGCACGGCTGTACGGAATAAAACACAGACCCAGCTGAAGGTGACGAGCAAGCCGGCAGTACGCAGCCAAGGCCAGAACTAGGAGTGGAGTCACTAGCAAGAAACCCACAACCAGCAGAGCCACACAGCCACCGTCAGTCAGTAGATCCGAACAGTATGGTGATGAACCATGCGGGCGCACCTGAAAAGAGAGACATTTGACTGGTGTGGACCTGTGTGGGGTCAAGGATGAGTGGTGGAATGCATGTAGGCATTGCTGAGGAGGGTCAAAGAGAAATGAAGTGTCCCTGGAGGAACACCATCTCTGAGGTGTGGACAGACGAAGAACAGACACACTGGACAAGAATGTCTACCTACAGCATATGCTTGCTTTCTTTAGTGAGTTGATCGTTTGTTACTTCCAAGGTAGTGGTTTTTTCTTTCTTATTATTGTTATTATTTATTTATTTATTTTAATTTAATGTTATAGTTTGACAGAAGACCACTGTTGGTCTGATTCACTAAAACCTCAATATATCACCTTTGCTTTGTAAAAATTTCCTTGGGAAAGTATTGCTAAAATGTGCAAACATTTAATATTAGAAGTGCAGTTGACATTGTTTGAAATATGTATGATAAACTTGTAAAGGCTTTTTTTCTCCCTTTGAGCTGCTCTGTGCCCGATCACTACCAAAATATAGATTCTGCATCAGCCTACCTAAAGCTTCAATAATTGTATATGCACAGAGACTTCAAATATACATTATACATCATTTTAATTCTTTTGGTTAATTGGCATTGCACAGGATGGAAAGGATTGAGGGATAAAAAACCCCCACATTCTTGAAGGGAAGGAGAGTAATAGGCAGGAAAAACAGGCGACTGAGTAAACAGAGTAGGAGGGAGAAAACTGATAAAGCCCATCTGCAATTTGAGCTGCACTTTCTCACTCTGACAGGTTTCTTCACTCAAGTAGATGCTTGTAAAAATCACTACTAAAAAGTAAACAAAGCGTTTTTGGAGAGTTATAATTAGACATTTATTAGCGATCCCTTTATCATTAAATGATATTGTGACAGCTGCATCTGTGAAAAGCAAATTTTTTTTTTTTTTAATGAATTTCATTGTGGTTAGAAATTTAATATTTATTGTGATGTTTTCATCAGCTGTTTGGACTCATTCTCACGGCACCCATTCACTGCAGAGGATCCACTGGTGAGCAAGTGATGTAATGCTGAATTTATCCAAATCTGTTCCAACAAAGAAACGTACTCATCTACTTGGATGGCCTGAGGGTGAGTAAATTGTCAGCAAATTTAAAATTTTGGGCTGTAAAACATTTTAGAAAATGTCAAAGGGTGATGTGATGCAATAAAATGTAAATCTTCTCAAATCTAGAAATCAGCCACTGTTCTCTTTTGGTATGTCTCTAAAGTACGAGGGATTCCAGCTGTCTGTAGAACTGTTGTGTGTGCAGATAAGATTAGAGCTGAACAGAGTAGTTTCAGGGAACTGATGCACCTATGTGGCCTTGATGTTAACCATATGTTTAGAAAGGATCCAACATCTAGAGAGAAATGCACACTCATCACTTCAGTCTTTTAGATTTGGTCTTAAATTATGCAGATTTATTCATTAGTTGGAGTTAATGCTTTGTTTATAAAGTATCCTGTTATGCATCTTGACAGAATCCTGAGTAGTTGACTGCTTATTTGAAATGACAAACTCTTTACTCTATGGAATACCATGGTGGTCTGTTGCTCCGTACAGATCTTTGGATTTATCTCTCTTTCGTAGGTGATCTAGTGTCACATGGGGACTAATTGGTCCGAGTGGCCATTGATCTTGGATCCTAAAGGTCTGGTAATTGGAGAGGTCAGAAGAATTCAGCCTTTATTTACACACATTGACCCTTACTGACCCATGGGTGCTACATGAAGATAACCCAAGCGGTTTTCTTCTAGCAAGAAATGAAGAGCCTGTAATAGTGAGATGAAAGGTCTGTATCTTACAGAAACTTGTCTGTTAATTCTGTAGTAGAATGTGAGAGTCTTTTGTTGAAAATGAACAGAGCTGATACGGTGGAGAAGCCATCTGCAATTTGAGCTGCACTTTCTCACTCTGACAGGTTTCTTCACTCAAGTAGATGCTTGTAAAAATCACTACTAAAAAGCAAACAAAGCGTTTTTGGAGAGTTATAATTAGACATTTATTAGCGATCCCTTTATCATTAAATGATATTGTGACAGCTGCATCTGTGAAAAGCAAATTTTTTTTTTTTTTTAATGAATTTCATTGTGGTTAGAAATTTAATATTTATTGTGATGTTTTCATCAGCTGTTTGGACTCATTCTCACGGCACCCATTCACTGCAGAGGATCCACTGGTGAGCAAGTGATGTAATGCTGAATTTATCCAAATCTGTTCCAACAAAGAAACGTACTCATCTACTTGGATGGCCTGAGGGTGAGTAAATTGTCAGCAAATTTAAAATTTTGGGCTGTAAAACATTTTAGAAAATGTCAAAGGGTGATGTGATGCAATAAAATGTAAATCTTCTCAAATCTAGAAATCAGCCACTGTTCTCTTTTGGTATGTCTCTAAAGTACGAGGGATTCCAGCTGTCTGTAGAACTGTTGTGTGTGCAGATAAGATTAGAGCTGAACAGAGTAGTTTCAGGGAACTGATGCACCTATGTGGCCTTGATGTTAACCATATGTTTAGAAAGGATCCAACATCTAGAGAGAAATGCACACTCATCACTTCAGTCTTTTAGATTTGGTCTTAAATTATGCAGATTTATTCATTAGTTGGAGTTAATGCTTTGTTTATAAAGTATCCTGTTATGCATCTTGACAGAATCCTGAGTAGTTGACTGCTTATTTGAAATGACAAACTCTTTACTCTATGGAATACCATGGTGGTCTGTTGCTCCGTACAGATCTTTGGATTTATCTCTCTTTCGTAGGTGATCTAGTGTCACATGGGGACTAATTGGTCCGAGTGGCCATTGATCTTGGATCCTAAAGGTCTGGTAATTGGAGAGGTCAGAAGAATTCAGCCTTTATTTACACACATTGACCCTTACTGACCCATGGGTGCTACATGAAGATAACCCAAGCGGTTTTCTTCTAGCAAGAAATGAAGAGCCTGTAATAGTGAGATGAAAGGTCTGTATCTTACAGAAACTTGTCTGTTAATTCTGTAGTAGAATGTGAGAGTCTTTTGTTGAAAATGAACAGAGCTGATACGGTGGAGAAGCAGTAGATCTACTCTTCTGTGGGTCAAAGTGCAAGAATGTCGAGGGCGGTCGCTATACAACTTTGTGAGAAAACTGTTTTTAAACTCCAGTAATCCACTTCTGTCCTGAAAACACTCCTCATCTGACGTCATCCTCCCAACTCCTGACCTGCCCCTGCTAATACTCCTGCACTCAGACTGCTGAGAAATGCCCAAGATTAAGAGATTACTTGGTGAATCAAAGAGAAACAGAGGCCAAACTCCCATAAATCCCTAGAAGAATATCTCAGAATAAAAGATAATCATGATTCAGAGTCTTTGTCCCAGATTATAAAGGACATTCCTTTAGCAGCAATACTGTTTATCTCAGGGACCAAATTTTCAATATGTTTTAAGCATAAATGACTGTTTTTCAGTGGATTTTATTGTTCCAAGATCTAAATATGAAAGTTGCATATTTTTTGCAGTGAAGGATCCATTATTATGCAGTAGTCTTCCCATTGGTATTTGATCTCGTTTAAGAAAGAATTTGTTTGACTTGTTTTTATTATTTGTGAAGTTTTGTCATTATCTTTTGATTTATCTATTATTATTATTATCATTAGATTAACTCTTTCCACTTTGCAACTTTTTCCATACTAAATACTGGTTGTGCATAATATGTAATATGCAGTATTATATATTACATATAGGGCCAGATTAGCGTTAGAGCGCAATTCCATAAAAGCGCAGATGGGAGGGGAAAATTCCGCGGTTGATTTACTAACAAATGCGCACATTAAAGAACACAAACGCAGCCAGATCATTTCCAGACTGACCAGCGCAATCTACCAAGAGCAGCGCAAATTACTGCCTGCTTTCAGACATGCTTTTTTTAGGCATTAAATAATGGCGCAAATACCAGTAATTTGATGAGCGCAAATGTTAGTAAATCGCGTTGCGTGATTAATATTAGTAATCTCCAACCATAAATTTTGCGCCTGAAAGGGAAACTCCTACAAATGCATATTCAATAAGGTCAGGTGCAAAAAAAAAATTGTCCATGCCTTTTCAGCGCTAATTCTTCACTGCACGTCTTTAGTAAATCCTGACAATACTATTTTAACGCCAAAGGACGGTTTGTGCTGGTGCAAGCTGTTAGTAAATCTGGCCCATAGTATATTTATCATCTTTGGAGCAACTTTGGAGTAAAGTTTAATGTACCAATAAACTTTATTTAATGTACTAAGTCTTTATCAGTGTTTTTCTGATAAATTGTAAATATATATTAATCTTAATAAATTATAAAATCATAAATAGTTTTTTCTTAAGTCCATTTTTTTACGATTTTATGAAAGTCTCCTACCCTCTGACCCGAAGAATTAAACCGCTTGTATTTTGTTCCTGTGGACCTACTTAAAAGTCCTCTACACAAGAAAAATGAAAAACCTGAAAAAAACTTTCATTTCTTTTGATTTCAGTTCTTACCGTTGAATGACAGATGAAGCCGAACACCACCATGACAATAGCAGGAATTAGGATGAGCCCGAAAACCAACCCGGCCAGGCAGGCGTTGATGGCCGCGATCACCAGGTTCTGCGCTGTCACCAGCACTGAGCACGCCCAGCAGTCCAGAGAGCCCCGGAGCTCCAGCGGAGCTTCACCTACCCCAGCCTCCGCAGCAGAGTAAGGCGGCGGCACAACCACTCCAGACCCACCTACTGGGGTCCCGGCTGGGACAGTGGAGGCCAAGGAGTTTGTGTGCTGGAGACTGGTGTGATTGTGATGGTGGTGGTGATGATGGCTGTTGGTTGGGAGCTCTTCAGAGAGGTCGAGGGCCTGGTGATGAGCCCCCTTCTCCAGTGTGCCATTCATGCTCATCCTGATCTGATGATAATAGAGAATGAAGGACATTTAAAAAGTACTTTGTTAAATTGTGAAAGGAAAGCACTTGATGAGTTTTGTATTTTCAGTTGTAGGCTTGAACCTCATTGTTGGAGCTCAGCAAATTGTTGACAGCGGTTCAAAAACAGTTAGCCGACATTTTTGTTGTAAATTCTTTTTATGCTTTTAGATATTAAATCATACAAGCCTTGATTAACAGTGAATTTACTCAAATTTGAAAGTGGCCATAGATGGGGTTTCAGTCCCTGTCTTTAACCTCAACCCTCTTAAAATCTGAGAATCTCTGAAAATCTGAACTCGGCTGAAAAATCTGTGAATGTGATCTCTGTGTTTGTTGACGGCAGTGGCTGCACTAAGCCGTCTGAGGTTATTTCTCTCTCAATCCCTGTCAGCAGTTGTTCAAAACCCTGGAAAGTGTTACATTAAATATTGTCAGTGGTGGATGCAGTCATAGTCAACTTTGATATTTGCTTTGGACCGTTTACGGCTTCAAAAAAGTTCAGAGCAAGGTTAAATCACATATCGCCAGGAAGCTTGGTTTGTGATCTTTTAATTAGGTCTTTTATCAGAGGCTGATTGTTATCTGAAAGCTAATTGGCACTTTGTGACGGAAACTAATTGGTATTTGAGTGTGTTTGGAACAACACAGGCGATACGATCAAGTGAAGAGTGAGAGGCCTTGACATCGCAGTAACCCTTACCCCTGGGGATTACATCTCTTTTACCTCCATTTGTTTTAGTTTTTTTAAACCTCACCAAGAACATAGCTCACATTTCACCCAAATAACAAAATAAATGTTTTATTTAAAAGTTTGTAATATGCATTTATCATAAATTTGCAATAAGTTTATTGTAAAACAGTAATTAGAAGCATCCTGTCCGGACGCAATGCTTGTTACAAAAATAAATCCCTTCAGAATAAATTAATGGTGGTACAACAAATGCTACTACGATGTTATACATTCTACTTTTACAGTACAGAAATGGAAATTTGACATTCTTATTTGTTATGATCCATAAGAGATTACATTTTCTTCATTTTCTACACATCCTGTGCTTCAAGCTAGATTTTCAGGTTGTCAGCTCCAGTAAAGTGTGGAGCACTGAAAAGAGGTGCCACCCCCCCCTCCCCCTCAAATGCAGATAGCACTCAGAACAATAGACCGAGGTCATACTACACAAATAGTTAACGCCATACAGCTGTGGCCTCAGTTGTGCCATACGCAACTCATCTAAAAATGGATACAGGATGGTCTACGACTCTTTCACACACACATGCACTCTGACCCTTAAACACTACATCCTGAATATGCCATCAGTGATGCATGATGAGGGAGACATGCACACGTTTGTGCGCTTGCTGACTGTTGTGTTGTCTTCCTGCATTTGTATTCTGTATGTTATACAGCAGGTGGCTTAACATATAACAAACACTAGGAAACGTGAACACAAGCGCACACCATGCCAAACCTGGATAACACCAGACTGCTCCACCCACTAACTCGGTTTCCACGTTTCTGGGAATCACAAAATTGAGAATTAACTTCGAGTCAAAACTTTGGGACTATAACTAGATGCTACTATTTTTATGCGTGTATAAGGCTCGATTTACAAATTGAACGTAACTTAAATATTTTGTAGGCTCAAGGTGGGAATGAGTTTTACTTTTTGCATTAAGGTCTGATGTGGCTTCAGTACTTCACATGTAAATTGGTTTATGACTTTTTTTCCCCCACTAATATATGCTTTTGCCTGATGTGGTATTTTAAATGATCCAGCTAGATTTTATTTCACTGGTAAACAGTCCCTCATTAGATTTTACATGTTAGATGCATCACTCAAAACCAGATTACGCAGAAGTGCACTTGCAGTTATTTCTGAGCTATTGGTTATGTGAATTAATGTAAAACGAGTAATCAAGCAGATACATGTATCAGTGTATATTCCAAACATTCCCCTGCTGTAGACTCTGATAGGTCAGTCTCACATGCTCCTTATCAAGCCCTCCGCACCCTCCACTCACCCGATGGTGTGACACCAGCAGTCCTCTTCTTTTTGTTGCCTTTGACTAACACAACATGCACTCCTTGGTTTTTTAAAATGGAAGTTTGTTTGGAAGTCCTTGTTCAAATACGTCTAGAATTATGGAAATGTTTTTCCTTGCGTACTAGTCTTGCGTACTCTCATTTCTTGTGTTCTCTGAAGTGTATAGTTGGTTTAGCTCAGATTTGCTGTATTCTGTCCACTGGCTCTCTCTCTCTGTGAGGCAGACTGAGATATGGACGTGTCCTGCCTGGCAGTTATAGCAGTGCCTTCCTCATGCCCCCTCCCCTTTCTCCTTACCCTTCTCTTCTCACTCTTTCTTCACTCTTTGTGTGGGGGAAGAAATGTTTATTTAAAGAGCTGAAGTGAGGACTTTAATTACTCCTGATGGATAGAGAGGACATGAAACCACCTCACATTTACACCAAACCTCCATTCTTCTTTACTCGTATCATAAACTGCTCTTACCACATGGGGGCGAGTGTTTGTTTTCCTGTAATCATGTGTTGGTTTGTTTGATATTGCCATCTCTATGTGATCCGTGTATAAACGCATGTTATCCATCATCCTTCACCCATAATGCAATTGTATTGCAACTATTGCTGGTCTTTTAGGGAGCATTGCAGAGATAACTGCAATCCTAAATCTTATTGTTCCGTGCAATTTTTGTTGTTGTTTTTTTTGGTGAGGCTCTTCACATGGCTTTTAGGACCATATCATAAATTAGTTAGAATTTAAAAATGTAATTAGAAATCAAAAGAATTTAGGACTTCCGGTCTTAAATCTATTCATCATCATTACGGTTTTAACTCGCCCTGTAACTATTGTCACTTCCTGTTTGTCACAATCAAAGAAAATGTCACAACTTTTGAGACTTAAAGGCAGGGTAAGTGATTTCTGGTAGCCAATGTTGATATTTGAAATCACCAAAACAAACACGCCCCTACCCCAAAAGGGTCTTGCCCCTATTTTGATAGCTCCGCCCCACATATACGTACGCAACCCAGGCAACGATTAGTTCTGTGAAACAAAGCAAAACCAATGTTACACCGTGTCTACACCGGACGCGAGCGGCGCGGCGCAACAAATCCCGACAGAAAACTGCTGCCGGGTTCTATTTATGACGTGCTGACACAAATTTCAAATGGTTTTCAACGGTCGTTTGATCGCGTCCAGTGTAGGCAGACTTTAGCTGTTGTAGACACGGTGTTACTCACCTATTGAGAAGAAACAAAGCAACCTCGGCGTCCAATCGCAGGCCTCCGCTCCTCGAGTTCTCTCCAGCGCTGGAAAGCTGATCCGATATTTACACGGGTTTACTTATATTGCCTTAAACCCTCGTTTGTTCCGCAGACATTTTCCTCTTTTGTTTTTATCCGCCATCTCTATCTTTCTGTCGCTCAGCTCGGCTCGGCTAATGTCCGTCCCGTGCACTGAAAGCTCTGTCCTCCACAGCATGAGTAGACACGCCCCTTACTGCTGATTGGCTACAAGTTTGTTTTGCTATTCGGCCCGAATCAGTTTTCTAAAGTGTTTTTGAAAAATTACATACCCTACCTTTAATGTAGAGCAGTTGTGAATTACACTGATTTAAATGTTGCATAGGACCAAACTTCGCAGTTCAGTCACATTGGGAAAAAAATGGATTGGATTCGGTTTAATGTTTCATACATGGAAATGTGATTTTTGAGGTTTATCATGTAAAAAAAATAAATCAAATATATATGCGTGTGTGTGTGTGTACTACATTTAAGAGTATTGTGAACAGCCAGAGATGAAAGCAAGACTTTTGATCTTTCTTCAGCAACTTTTCAGTTAACAGCCATTCTTAGCCACCAGACCAAGACACACACATACATACATATCAAGGTTAACAAAGTTGAAAATTGGGCTGTTGACCAGACTCTAGTTTTGAAGGCCACATGGGATAACAGAAATGATCTCAAACAACTGATGGCAAGGACAGATTGAGAGAGCTGAAAGAAGGATGGAGTGGAGCAGCATGGTTTCTCCTTCATGATGAAAAGAATAGCAGAAAATACAGTGGGAGGGGTTGCACATGGGAGGAATAGAGTAAATGTTGGGTTGCGTGACTGATAAGAGCCCATCTGTGGTCAAAATCACACACAGATCAATTAATGTCTGTCAGATATAAGATTTCCCACTGCTTTCTGGGTCAGTGTTTACACTCTCTCGGTTCCCCTGGGTAGCGACCCCTGACCTCACTCAAAGGAGGGCAGTTTAAGACTTTTCAAATGAAAAGATAAAACCTGTGCTAATATGCAATACATACGAGCACTTAACTAATATGCAATAAATACGAGCACTTAACTAATATGCAATACATACGAGCACTTAACTAATATGCAATACATACGAGCACTTATCTAATATGCAATACATACGAGCACTTAACAGGACACAACCAGAAGTTAAATTATTTTTTTTAATAAAGAGAATGAAAAAAATGAAGCGTGACAGAGATTGGTAATTATGATTGTAATCAGTTTGAAGACTGCCTAAAAATGCTGTTGTGCAAATTATATCCCAAATATTACTGGTCAAGGTTTGAGGTAAATAGTAGCAAGGTTATTTTATTTTTATTTTTTTAAGGCTAAACATGTCTTTGAGTGATTGGCATTCACCAGCCTCTGGTTTGTGGCAAGTGCTATTTTGAGTTCACCTCGGTGATGCTTGTCTTCGGGCTTTGTACATTAAACAAGGATTTGGCTTTCTGAATGGAGCAAAATTGAGCAAGGTGATAAAGGAAGGGTGAAAAGAGCTTCCTGTTCTTACAGGAAGTAGGAAATCCGCAAGCCTGTGCAACATGAACCTCTAATGACCTTTTTAGACTCTTTACTTGAGGTCCTGGGTAGTTTGTGCTACTCCTAAGTCACTTTGGATAAAAGTGTCAGCTAACATATTGGGAGTATTGTGGTGGGAGTACATTTCTGCAATAACTGAGCATGAATTACAATTTGTTGCGAGATAATTTGTTGTCCGTTGGAATGAACGCTTGGTGGTTGATGCTTTAGGCTGCTTGATGTATCTGACCCTCATTATGTCCGGCCCACATGGGTGTGTTAATATGGAACACTTGAAAGCTACTACACAGTGTGACAATTTCTTGTGCCAAAATTTGAGTGATAGGGCATATTACTGAGAGCTGATCCAAGCTCTGGGGCCTCATTTATAAAATGTGCGTATACGCACAGATTTGATCTTTGTACGTGCTTCTGTACGTGCAAGCAACGAATTCATCATAAACAAAGATGCAGTGTAGTCAGATTTTGTATTAACGGGAGTTTTGGCGAGATTACACTGACCTTTTTAGCCTAATGTTGAGTTCTTTACTCGCTTTCTGTACACAGTTTATTCCAAGTTGTTGTTTTATTATTTATTTTACAAGAGAACTTGCGAAGTCTTGATTTACTGCTAATGCGTAAAATAGTCAGATGCGTTTATGCATTTTTTTTTCTTCTGTTTTGTCTGTGTGGCCTATAAGAATAGGCCTATGCCGTGCAATAACGGTTTTCTATTCAATAACATTGTTAACTGTTTTTATTTATAACATCTGCTGCTTTGCTTCTGTGAAAGTGAATAGAGACATCAGCCTTAAAGGGACAGTTCACCCAAAAATGAAAATTCTGTCATCATTTACTCACCCTCAAGTAGTTCCAAACCCGTATAAATTTCTTTGTTCTGCCGAACAGAAAGGGAGATATTTTGAAGAAAGTTTGTAACCAGGCTGTTTCGGGGCACCATTGACTTCCATAGTAGGAGAAAAAAAATACTATGGAAGTCAATGGTGCCCCAGAACTGCTGTTTCCCACATTCTTCAGAATATCTTCCTTTGTGTTCGGCAGAACAAAGACATTCATACAGGTTTGAAACTACTTGAGGGTGAGTAAATGATGACAGAATTTTCATTTTTTGGGTGAACTATCCCTTTAAAATTAGTTTTTGTCATTTACATCAATTATATTTGTATAAAATACACTATATATTTTTGTGTCAGTACATTGATGGCACATTTGAGCAGCATTAGTAAACTGTGTAAATATAAAGAAATGCCAAATCACATGCAGGTTTTTTCTGACCGGAGACCATAATCGTGTAATTAATTTTATTATGATATGAAACGTCCAATTTTTCTTTCAATAATGTTTTTTTTACATTTTTCAAGAATTTCGTGGTACTAAACGTTTTATTAGTTGTCATAGCAAGTGATTTTAAAAGTAGGATGCCTCCCTTTTTATAACATGACTGAAAATTTTACTTGAATTCGTAGTTTATTCTTACTTTTGGAAACCTAATTGTTTTATAATTACTATTATTATTATTATTATTTCTGTTGTTTCTAGAAGTAGTCATTTTGATAATAGTCAATAGAAGAAAATATAACCACACACACATTGTTTGTCCACAGAATAATTACACATTATTAAATAAAAAGCATCCCGCGTGAACCTCTACCTCCGCCAGCAGGACCTCAATTGAACCTGACACGAAAACATGAGATAAATAATCAAGGCTAAATACTCAACTGTAGATAACAGTGTGCTTGGTACGAGGTGATGACATAGTGTGCAGGAAAACATTTGCAAAAATTATTTTTTTTATAAAAAAAGTGACGTAAAATGATAAAAAGATTTATTAAAATGTGATAAATCATTAAGGCTTTTGAAACCTTGTTGCTTTGACTGAATGAATACAGAGGCATGGCACAGATCAAAGTTTATCAAAAGCATTTAATATTATTCAGAGTAATCATATCAATGACACACGAATTCACAAAGTGTTTAAGACATGTCTGGCTCAGTTTGCTTCGTGTGTGAATTCCAAAACAGTGCAGATTTTAAATAACCACAAAAATAAAAAGAGGAAAGTGTGTATATTGCAACAGGAAAAATATTTCTTAAAAAAAATTGAGTAGGTCGAGAAGAACTCAGCACCATCTATATCATAATCAAAACCATTTTCCTGATAATACATGAATTGTCACGCTAACGCTTCTAAAGCTGTAACAAATTACAGTATATAAATCAAAAACAATGCATTAAATCCCCTTTCACACTGTTACTCATTCCAGTAAAATGCCGCAATTTACAGTTCAATGTGATTTTTGGCCTTACAGTATGATATCCCACTGCAGCCAATTACTGTATACTGTGTATATAGAAAGATTATGCCTGCTGTGTTCAGCACGGCAACTGTGTCCTCAAACAAACCGCATTTACAACAGGACAGAAGCACCACTGAACGTGTAAGAGTATCAAAAACAGACGTTAGCCAGATTTTATTCATGACAGAATAGCTGCTAATCTAGGCTCAGAATCAGTCCTAGTCACCATCTTAGTCAAAAACAAAAGAAGAGATTCCAAGAGCACAGGTCTATTCTGAGCATTCATATGAACATGGCCCCTGTATTTAATCTTTCTTTTATTTGTTCAAAAGAAACGGGCACGTGAGCAGGTGTTCAAATATATAACAGTGATCACCTGTTAACATACGTGAGGAAAACTGTCTAAACATTTGTGTATAACAGACAACTTCTCTGTGCTCTACAATCTACATGGACAGAGTCAGTTATGAGATATTTAATAATATATAGACAGGAAAGCTATTTAAAGGGGCAAGCACCAAAACTCAAAGCTTGAAATCAGCACCCTTGAAATCTTACAGAGGATTTAGACTAACAATAGAAACCCATAATACATCTCTGATAACCAAGTTGAGGCAGGGGAGAACATTTTATATCCAATAAATAGAACATTTTAAATAAATGTACAATTTAAAAAAAAAATCAAAGAGAAAGAGGTGAGAAACAATTCACTGAACAGAACCGATGAAACTGAACAATTATACTCACAAAATGCAGGAGAAAAATGGATTAAAAATGATGATATAAACCGATTCTGTACTGAAACTGAAAAAGTCTTTTAAAACCCGTATGTTTTGAAGCATTCTGAACAACTGTATTTCTTTTAATTCTTAATGCTTTAGAAAAATGTCCATAGCTCTATTATTAGTATTATTAATTTTTATCTCTTCACTAAATACAAGTCACAAGGCCAATGTGGTATATATCTAGGCTGTTCTAGGTTTAAAAAGAATAAATTATTGAAGAAAAAAGCACCCACGAAAAATACAAAGAGCATTTACACATTTCGGTATTCAATATCCCCAAAAAAGAGAGAGAGAGAAAAAAAAAATTAAGAACCAAATGGACAGGATCTCGGCAACTCTGCCGCTGTACGCCATGACAGCACCAAACTGCATTCCGCTTGAAGTCCCGCAGAGCCATACAGGGGTTGGTACACAAAACCGACAGAATTTATTGGCTGATTGGTTCTGTAAACAATGCTGAGTAAACTGGTTCTCGATTGGCTGTTCAACAAATATTAACAGTAGTATTTTGTTTCCCCCAACGGTAAATGTTTTAAGTCTTAACTGGACTAAAATAAAAGATCTCGTCCTGCGAACAGGAGTTTTGGTTATGGCTGTGTGAGGGCAAGGGCTGAGACGTCCTCATCGGGAGCTGGAACTGGTAGTCTGAAAAGCACACGTACAAATGATAAAGGTTAGCTCTTTTTGAAGCTTTGCTGTTGTTTGCTGACTTTGACAAAGCGCGTGGGTGCACTCACCAGGCTGAAAGAGTCATAAACGCTCATGAGCTCCTCCATGCGGCATTGCTCCAGCACTACTACATTGGAGAGGTTTGGGTTGCGTTGTCGTGCACAGTCCTCACAGTGCACCACATACATCTTCCGACTGCCATTCTCACTGGTCACAAACAGCAGGTTAAACACCTCCACCTGCACAAGAACAAAAACTTGCATTATTGTTATTTTTTTGGAACAAAACTCTGGTGAGTTTTTTTTCTATGTAGGGTCTGCCTATGCTTTACAAATAACGAAGCACAATCCACTCACATCACACTCGTTACAGTAGTAGGCCGGCTCATCCTTCACTCTGCTCTGGTAGGAAATCTTCTTTCCTCCTGCCACCAGCTGGTCTCTCAGAATCTGAATGTGCTTAATAGACTGGAGGAGACAGTGTCTGAAAAGGAGGAAAGGCAAATGGATTAAATGCCTATGCTACTAAACTGGGATGTAACTTCCTGCTGCATACTTACTTGATCATCTTGTAAGTGTCTGGGTCAGTGACTTGGACGTTCCGTGCCACGTTCCAGGATACGTGAATCATGGGAACGATGGATTTGACTTTCTTCACTTCGTTCCACTCAAATCTCTCTAAAGCCAACTGGTACTGATAAGCTACAAATTCAGAAAAACAGATTTTTACATTTCTGTGCCCAGGATTTTAGCTTTACACATTTAATTGCAACTGTTTATGTAATTGTCATGACTGATAAAATGTATTTTAAAGCGATTCGATTTGATTGTCCACTTAAAGTAGGCTATTCCTGGCACACGCAATTGCAACGACAATGAAAAATCGGGATTTTCGTAAACATCCAAAAGCCACCACGTTTTGAACGATAAAGAGAACAGAAGTTAAATGTGTAGGTTACTCACAGTTGACGGGCCCCACATTCCAAGCAATGTTGTTGCACCAGCCCACGGCCTGAACCCAGTGTACAGTGCCTGCGTTGATCCATACCAGGTCTCCTGGTCTTTGGATGAACCGGTACACAGGGATGTTAGCGCGGTACAAGTCATCCAGAACCGGCCACCATGATCCTGTCAGGTAGTCGACTCCATGCCTGAGAGATAAATCCACAAACTTCTTAATAAAGTATTTATTGTAACATAAATATATAAGAATGAAATTAGTGTTATTTGACAGTGTTTTTGTAAACTCTTTCTTACTTTACACAGAAATCACTGATGGCCTCCCAGTAGTTGTCATGAACAGCAAACCACTCACAGTCTCCAGGTCCAATATTGATGTTTATGGAACAGAAGTTATTGTTCTCCTGGTGTCCTGATGATACAAGCATTTAACACCAATAAAAAAACCTACTTGCCAAAGCAGACTATCTATCTTTGATTTCTACAACTCACAAATCGAGAAAGCTATTAGTGATTGCGTCAAACCTGGTGTGCGGCAGCCAGGGACTTTCATGTAGAGTTGCACTGTATTCATTCCCAAAATGGTGTGGCCAACATGACTCAGCATATTCCCACTGGAGGACACACGCATAAACGCCGGCAACTTCTGCAGTTCCTGCAGCTGAGGCTTCCATCTAAAGAAAAAGACAAAACACAATTGAGTTCAAACAGACTTATAGAAAAGGGATGCTGCTCATGTAAAGTGCAAGAATGTATATATCCCCAACCATGTCTTGAAGTTTGACATATTTAAGGTTTTTATATCATCCAAATGAGATGACAAAAAAAAAAAAAGGTTATACATGAATTCAATTATGCACAGTAGTCTTACCTTTTTGGATCGGACAGGTCAATGTTGGTGCCAAATTTTATTATCTTCCCCACAGTTTTCTGCTCTAAACTATAAAGACAAATTAAATCATTTTAAGTAACAACATTTTAAAGAGGTGTTTTATACATACATATATAAAAAAATAAAGAGGCAGATATTTGGACAAAATCAAGAATTAGGTGCTGTGCTAACTTGCGAAGAATTACCTGGAGCTGGGAGCTGAGGAGCTACTGGTTGTATTCTCAGAGTTAGTGGCTGATTTCTCATCATCTTCATCATCATCATCCTCGTCATCACTGCCCTTCTCTTCCTTTAAAGGCAGACAATGGTATTAGGTGCATGTTCAGTGCATGATGTATATGATTCAAATGGAAATTCATTTTATATTTTACGTCAGACAGAATTGTACAAACAAGAATTTCATCATCATCATCCTCGTCATCACTGCCCTTCTCTTCCTTTAAAGGCAGACAATGGTATAGGTGCATGTTCAGTGCATGATGTATATGATTCAAATGGAAATTCATTTTATATTTTACGTCAGACAGAATTGTACAAACAAGAATGACAAAGTATTTGCAAAATGACCAACAAATCTCTGGAAACTAACAAACACGGTGTTCGTTTTGTTGTGTTGGTTGTATGTTTGTGTTCATACCTGTAAGCTCTCTTGGAAGCTGGAGGCCTGGTACTGGGCATACTTGGCAATTGTTGTATGCGACCTGCTGCTTTCGCAGGGCCAGGTCTGGCCAGTGCCGCTGGGATCCCAGTTCTCATCGGCTGGCTGCTGGACCTGGGTCCGGACCTCTACTGCATGCTCCGCATTTGCCTCCACCAATGATTTTGTGGAAAACAGACCAAGATCTATGAAGAGGAAGGAATGAAAAATGAACTAAGTTTCCACAACAGCAACCGTTAAAGTTACAAAATGTACAACTTGAGTATCTGTCCATCCATCCATAATACATTGTGCATAAACGTACTTAATCTAAGGGAGCCAGCTAATCCCCGGATGACAGTAATGGGGTTCTTAGAATCCGTGCAGAACTGTAGCAGGACCGGAGAGAATGCATCTCTTTTACTTTCCAACTGCAGAGAAACAACAACAACATGGAATCATTAAAACAAACTTTTATACATCGGAGCATCAACTGTGTTTTTACTTGAGCAGAGGTTATTGTGCATGTAATAGGAAATGCTGACAATGCTACTGCAGCGCTTACATAGATGCTAGGTGTGGGGGGGTTGAGTTTCTCTCGAGGGATGGGCAGTTCTGTGCTCAAAACTGGTTTAACAGAGAGGGCAGGTAGGAGGAACGATTCCTTAAATTTCCCCTTCACGCGAGCCCCCCTGAAACAACAAGACATTAAATATCAGATATGGCCTTTCACGGTCCAAATCACATCAAAATAAATTGCAACTGCAGCCAAGAAATAAACCGTTTTAAAGATTTGCTGCACGCAAATATTGCTTACTTGCAGGCTCTGACGATTTCACTAGCTGTGTTCTTTATGGTGATTTCCTCCAGAGGAATCTTTCTCTCCTCTACCTCTGAAGCAATAAATGTCTCCCTGTCCCCACTCTCCACCTTTATGAGGCGTATCTTCAGTTCTTTGGGTGGCCCATCTGTCAGTGCTTTCAGTTTCTGAAAGTCATCAGAACATAATGCTGAAGAAGCTGATGGGAGATCAGACGAACGTCCAGAGCTGGCGCCCTCGTCTTTACTGCGTGCCCACTCTTCTCCTTCACTCTGGGGTTGGCTACATTCCTCCTTCCTTCTTTTCTTGTCTCCGTCACGGTCTTGTTCCTTCTCCCTAAACTCCTTACTCTGAAGGTCCAGGTTACCCAGTACCTGCCTGCTCTTTTTTTCCTTGTGTGACTTTCCATCCTTGTGCCGTCGACTGGAGCTGGAAGATGAGGATGAGGAAAGAGACGCATCCTCGTGTCTTTCTCTGTGCTTTTTCTTTCTCTCTTTCCTGTCCTCATGTTTTTTGCTACTGCTACGGTGTTTGTGTTTCCTCTCTCGTTCTCTGTCTCGGTGTCGGTCCTTTTCTTTATCAGGTTTGCATGTCTCCTGTGACTCTGCCTTAGAGCTCTGCCTTTGAGGGAGTATGTGTTTGTTCACCTCATAGCTATGACCAAGCTCCGCTAGTGAAGACTCTGAGATGGTGGTCAGTATAGGTCGATTTTTAAACAAGTCTTTCACAGTTCCAGAATCCTTCACTCCTGTGGATTCCTCTGAAATATCTTCCTCATCATCATTGCCCAAAAAATCTGACTGGCTAATCGTATCCCCTCTCTTCCTCTCTGATGCCCAATCTGTAGGTGAGAGGGGACAGGGCTGTCCTGAGTTACTAATGGCAGAGGGATGCGTTGGACTGCTGAAACCTGGGTGATTGGATGAACCTGATGTGGGAGAAGTGCTTTGTTGTTGTTGTCTGCAAATGTCAGGCTCCAGAGAAAGAGATGAAGAGTACTTCACTCCCATAAAAGCAGAGGGAGGAGGACGACCAAAGGGTCCACCTCGGTAGGTGTACTTCTGGCTCTCAAGTACAGACGCAAGGTTTTTAAACATGCCGTTCACACCTGTCTGATGGAGGTGTGGCCGTTGTGGTGGTGGTGAACAGGATGGAGTTTCATCTTCATCCTGATCTGCTTCTTCTTCATCATCCTCACACTCACTTTTCTCTACCTCTGGAAGGCCATACAGCTTGGCCAGGTCACTATGGCGATAATTGGTTCCTGTTGTGGCAAGATTGCTTTCTTGAGACTGCATGCTAATGGAATTTGCAGGCTTGGGAATGACCTTAAGAACCTCCTCTTCTTCCTCAAGTGAAGAAGTACGACTACAAGGAGATGCCAGTGAACCTTGCCGACTTAACACAGGTGGGCTTGCATGGCCATCTGGCTGATAACCCTCAGTTGGAGATTGCTTTAGGGCAGGCATGAGGTCTGGTGCACACAAATAACTCTTAATAGGTGCCACATTTGTAGAAAACAGAGGTTTCAGTACTGCCTGTTCTCCACTCTGGCCAGAATACAACTCCTCCTCTTTCCTGATGGACTCATCCAGCATCTTCATAATATTAGCCAATCCATCAGGCAAGAGCTCAGAAGTTTCCTCCTCAAATTGGGCACCATCAGAGTCACCACTGCAACTTCTAGAACTGCTACCCAAACTACCAAGTCCTGTACTGGGCATATGTTTTTGAAGGCTGCTTGTAGTCGTGCTGATAGGTGTGCATGAAGAGCGAACATCCTTGGGGAAAGCCTGGTAAAGTTTGGGTGGCTCTCGCAGGGGTGGAGGGTTGGGAATTGCATTTATAATCTCAGCATTATGAGAGGTTTTCAACATTTTGACATCTTTGGATGGGTCAGGTTTCAATTGCATGGTGTGGCTGTCGGAGGGGCTGATGAGACCTGACTCTGAGGGGTATGTGGGATTCCCAGTGGAATTCTGAAACGGTGCGCCACTCTTCCATTTCTCTCTTTGCCTTTGCTTCTCACGGGCATATTCTGTCTGGGGGGTGAGGGGAGGTGGCTGTTTGATGGAGGCAGTTTATAGGGGATATAGGGGAAGCTTCCAATTCCTGACTTAGCTGAATCCTGTAAATAGAGAATAGGAATTGGCCAAGTACATCTAATGTAAAACAAAAGGGAAGACTAAACATCACACAATACACGACTTTCATCGGATTGCTGTTCTTTACACAACTGTCTATCTTCACTGATCTCAGTTACAGTTAGGGCTGCATGATAAATCGAAATGGAATCGAGATCGCGATTTGACAGAAGCTGCGATTGTCATGCGTATATTTCAGTGAAGCACGGTTCTGTGATCAGCAGTAAATCTCCATCCAAATGCCAGAGGGCGCTCTCACGCTGAAACTCCAAATACGCCTCGCAGAAGAAACCCAGAAAATGCCTATCGCTGCAGCTGAATAAACAGAAGATTCAACTGCTTTCATTGATTCAACGTGACTAATAAACACGACTACGGCAATATACGGTTTATCGGAGTTCTTATTATTATAATTTTCATTAAGATAAAGTATATTTATAATGCAATGCCTTTATCACTGCTTAAATACTATGAAATATGTTGTGTGCCTTATTCTGTGTAAGAAGCCACATCATCTCACAGAAGGATTTATTTCAAACACTCGACCGACGTTATGAAGAGAGTTTGGAGTAAAAATGTTATTAAATGTGGTATTTTCACATGCTTTCAGATGGAGCAGCATTTACTTCGCAGAGCTGTAGTTCACTGAGAAGCTATGCAAACAGCTGTCATTATCGTGAGCGATTTCATAGTCGTGCAATAAAATCGTCTGCAATTTTTTTGCGTAACTTGTCAGTGAACTACGGCTATGTGTAGTAAATGCTGCTCCATCTGAAAGCACGTGATGATGATGATTTCCTGCTGATTACAGAACCGGCTTTTTTAACAAAATGCGCATGACAATCGCATTCGATTAAGCGCGCAGCCCTAGTTACAGTTAAACCACATTTCATGCTACAAGTCTTGAATTACAGACAGGTCTAGATATTTGACCCACTAACTTAATTCACACCTGATTTCTGGCTTTTGTCACAAAGCTTATAAGTGAAAGCTGATAAAGTGGCAGTGACAGATGATGCCATATATATTAAACTGTCAGACAGAATACAAGAAAATATTATAGAATATCAACATTCAGTTCTGTCAGGACCATTATCGTCAAAGATAACTTACAATTAGCATACATTTTAGGTTGGGGGTATGGTTCTGTTCTGGGCAAACACTCCCTGCCCATCCATGCAGCCTAGCATGGATAGGAGCAGGGAAAGCATAAATAAGCCCCCTAGGGTAAACAGAACAGAACCAACATTAATGATTAATGTAGCAGATATCATTAATGTTCTAAGTGATTATTTTATGTAACAACATAATTTAGTGGTCTGACTCAACGAGAATATCCAATGCCGAGTCCTGACTGGACGAGAGGAAGAATTTGGGGATGGAGGTGGGTGATTAGCTCCTGAGCAAAGCGATAGCTGCTGAATAATGACTGAAAGGACCTTATAAAGGGAATTATGATTGTCGTCGTATTCCTATAGGTAGACGTGGATCAGCTAAGTGTCAGCTGATGCGAGCTTGACTAATGTGACCTGCCAAAACTAACGCTACGCTCCATTTCAGCAGTGACTGACCTGGAAATCAATGGGTCCGCTTTTGTGTTCATTCGGGTTCCAGGGTGCTCCACCTCTGTGCAATGGGTTCCAAAAGCTAGGTTTTGGTGGGGGGTAGTTGGAGGGTGGCTGCTGATTCAAATGTACAGGCGGTCCGGATATGCGCTGCATGGCGGAATGAGGCATCTGTCATAAGAAACAGTAAAAAAGAGGGCTTGGTAAAGGCGCGTTTTAGGACAAGAAATGCAGAGGTGAGCATATCAAAAGACATGATATGCTCGCGACTAACCTGTTCAGACCCAGAGCTCTTCTTTCTCTTGTTCGGACTGGGGCAGTCCTCCATGGGCCGGTGCAGAGATGGAGCAGGGGTATGCTGAATGACAGAGTGCTCTCCAAGAGGGAGCCCAGGTCGTTTTAACTGTCCAGAATGAGAATGAGGTCCCCTGGGTTGCTGCTGAGTCTGAGGTTGAGTCCACATATCAGGGAATGAAGGCATGAGCTGAGGATGAGGAGCACCATACTTGTGGATAAAGTGAGAGAAAGAGAAGTTGGCGAAAGTACTCTCAAGCACATAACTTAGTTAAGCGCGCTATACATTCAATTAAACAAAAAATTGTTAGACAACTTTAGTGTAATATAAATCTGGTCTTTCATAAATTATACATTTAAAAATACTGATTTATACAGGAACACCATTCATTTTTATATAACAAGAGAGCATATAAAAGGCACAGTAATGAAACATAAGCTCAATAATCACCTTCAGTAGCTGACTGGCTCGAGCTGTGAGGTGTGCAGGAGGTCCTGCGTTGTAGCCATTGTGCAGTCGGTTGTGATTATCACCAGGCAATGGCTCATATCCCTGGCCAGTTCTGGTTGGTTCCCAAGGCCTGGGAGGAGCAGGGGGTATCCTTTGTATTCCTGGCAACAAAGCCTGAGACAGGCCTTGCTTATCTCCTCGATGTAGGGGACTGAAAATACAAGGACACATTAACAAACTTTTGCCAGAAGTATTTGTAAAACAACAATAAAGCTTATTAAAAACTCACCCATTGTTTAAGAATTTACTAGGATGATTTAGCCCAGTCATGTGACTAGGTGGCATATGGGTGAGGAACTGGTGCTGATTGACACCTGGTAAGCACCTATCGAGAGATAAGAAAACAAGGTTTTGCTTTGATCATTCCCTCTCACAGCTCAGTTAGCATAACTTTATCAGTGAAGTCACTAAAAGAATGATGCGGCCCTGATCATGAGGTGTATTACCTGGAGGGAGGTGGCCAGGCACGGCTGCTCACGGGAGCCCATGGTCCCCGGTTGAGTCCATCCAGAGGAAAAGGGTCCCGTGTGCTGCACCCGGTGAACTGTTCTGCTGTGTGATGCATCCAGCCTAGACGATAAACAAAGACTATTTACTTTCCTACATGTCTTTATTATCTTAGCCAATACATCCATCACTGCCAGGAAAAATACGTAGGCCTAAATTCTTGCATTCTTTCCAACATGTAGCAAAGTGGTTGTGACACTGAACTACTCCACTACTAAACCATTATGCTGCCTTCAATATCTTGGCTTAAGTCAGATGGCAGAGCAGACACTTTTCATTTATTAGATACACTTAAGTGTATGAGTGTTACTTTATTATTTATGAACTTTTAGTTTTAATATTTTAACTATTAGCTATTATTTTTATATTTTCATTTTAATTTTAGTGGAAGTTTTAGTAATTTTGTTGTGCTTTTATTAATTGTTTAATTGTGCTGTAATCTTCATTTCAGGGGGGTTTTTTCCTTCAATTTTTTGTTTTCATCTAAAATTTACATTTTATTTGACTTCAGCTTTATTAATGAAAACATTTTTCAATAGTTTTAGTTAACCATAACAACACTGAAGTGTACAAAATGATTTCATATGTGCTAACAAGCACGAAATATTCTTACTGATATAAATGACTGTTCAGTGCTACACTCTACCAAGAGAACAGAACACATGGTTACTCACCACACTAGCTGTGAGTGTGAAGCCCTCCACTGCAAAACAGAGAGGACCACTCACCAACAAGAAGGAGAAGCTGTTTACTGCTACCCCTGCCAACTGGAGAGAGAAAGAAAAGAGAAGAGATGGGACATAAGGGGGTGAGGCACAAATAACTGCCAAATCCATTAAACACGGGGAAAACACATCCTTTGTAGGCTGTATGAGTGTTTGGCCTGAAGGTAGCTAATAACAAAGGAACCCTCCAGAACTTCAGTGCCACTCTCTGCCTCTAGGGGGCAGTGCTATTCTGTATTCTAATGGAAGGAAAGGGTGCACAGATGGGCTTGTGGGAGTTCACCTGTAGGGTGAGTACACTGAGGTCATTATAACCCTTCCTAGGGCCTCTTGGCAGAGGGTGAGAGTGATTGGAGGGAGGGGACGACCAGAGCAAAGCCCTGGAGTCAAGCCAGCGGTGTCTGTGTGCATGTGTACATAAAGGAGTGTGTGTACTTGTGTTGTGTTGCTCGAGTTTGATTATTTGCATGTGTATGAGTGTGTGTCTATGACAAGAGAGACACTGGGGTTAATCTCATTAGGCCAGGCGTGATGGAGAGAGGAAAAGATAGAACGAAAGAGAGCAAGGGGTGGAGGGAGGAAAGGAACAGCAGAAGGCTTGAACAGGATGGATGGACAGATTAGGAGAAAAAGACGGGTCTAAAATTAAAGTGTTCTTTAGGGAGACACCAAAGTGAGAAGACCGGCTGTGCTCCCATGAAACACCCATGCATGCAAACACACTGAGCTTCCCACGCATTTTAAACACACATGGCACACAAAGCACACGCTGGATGCACAAATATTGGCAAGCGTGCGCACACACCCGATTGAAATCGCTTGGCACACACGCATATATAGCCATACAGCAAAGGATGCCTAGTGCACACTAATTATGGACTTGGCAAAAGCATTTCAACCGTACTCTGCCGTGCCGAGCAGAGTCGTACCACGCAATGGAAAAGCACCCTTAGTGAACCAAATAAAAAAAACGGTTAAAGCTTTATGCTAAAATTAATTTTTTTTGCAATGTTCAACTGGGGGTCTTCTGTCCCCCAAAAAAGTTTGAAGACTGCCGAGGTAAGACAGTTGTGGCAAAACACACATAAACCCAAACTGAAACTTCTCCGTACTACATTTCCACATAGAATGACAAATCATACTGCTACAGCTTTGCTTTTTACGAGAACATGTTTTTAATTTCAAGTAATATAGATTTATAGTAATATGTGGAAACAATACGGCACCCCGAAACAGATTCGTATTATTGTAAGAGAGATCAATCGAAACACACATACACAAAGTCTGATAACAGCTAGCTGTCTGCTGTGTAACTGGGGAACTCCCATGACTCAACCATGGAAAGGGCTTACCCCACAAAGCCAGACTCTGCCCTCTTCTCTAGCACACTCTTTACGGTCAGGTGATCGGGGACGCCCACCTCAGTCACAGCATAGGGAATTTCTGAAAGTCTACCGTCATCGATATCTGTTACAGTGTGTTGTTTTGGATGCAAAACATATGAACTGTAAATTTACAGTGTGGGTTTTTTAATATTCCACCAAATTGGGGAATCCAAAACTCACTGATGTCGATCAGACAGGAGAAAACAGGTGGCTTGCGGTGCAATTGATTATAAGAGGGAATGAGGTTGTGTGGTTATTGGTTTATTGAAAGGCGTCATCTCGATTTGCTTTCATGCTCTAGCTAACCGTTTTCTAGAAATGTCATGTGTATTTACTCATACTTCAAAAACTC